GGGGGACACGCGTCCGCTGCCTCCGGCCTCCCGCTGGAGCCGCCGGGCCGGCCCCTGGGAGGAGCCGGGGCCACGGAGCGATTCAACCGAGCCGCCGCCACGGCCTTTTCCCGCCCCTCGCCCGGCCGGGAAGGCAGGCTCCGCCCGCCCTGCCCTCGTTCTCCGGCCCTGGCCCTCGCTTCTCCCGTACCCTCACTCCAGAGGCCGCCCCGTCTCAGGGTCCTCTTCCACCTCCGGCGTCCGGATCTGCGCTTGTCCCCACAGCGAGGCCAGAGGCGGTCCAGTGGCCTTGGGCCTCGCCGGGCATGTGGCGCTGCACGACGCCATGGCGAGCCCAGCCCCTCAGGGGCCACCCCTGGCCACAGCCTCAGTCGAGCCACATTATACTGGGTGTCACCAGCTAAGGGGCCTTCAGCACCACCACAGCCACTCCAGGAGGCTTCATAAGTACTGGTCTTACCTTTTAAAAAGTTACAATGTGGGTATGATGCAGAACCTTTAAGGTGTTAAGATGTCAAATCCTCCTCTGGTGGCATGGCTTTATGTGTGTGGAGCACCTTGTTGGCTACTTGGCACGTAGAAGGCCTTCACTCTTTAAATAACCTTATAAATAAATAAAAATTTTAAAATCCACATCTAAAACCAGTAACTTGAGGAAAGTGACAATTAAGTCTGAACAGAGACACAGAAATATAATTATCAAGCACTTATCAGTTCTGGCTAGTTCCAAGGTTAACTAGCGAGGTGCATCCTTCAGGGTTTGATGGGTCCTGTCTCGTCTTATGCATCCCTCTTCCAGCTACACCAGAGTACTCTGCAGCCCACTGTTTCCCTCAGGTATCGTTACTAAAGAGAGCCTGCCAGCACTGTTGGACGTCTTTACGTGGTAGCATTCAAACCTGGTCAGTCTTCTCTGCTAGCTTTCAAATCCCCGTACCACAACCCCTTGGAAGACGTCATGGAAAAGAGGATTAACTACATGGGTCCTTACGTTCTTGGTGGCTGTCTCTTCAAACAAAGCGCCTTGAGAAAGGCACAAGGTTGTCAGCCAGAGTAAAATTGTTTGTGTGGCTGGTGTTTTAAGAAACAGGCAACTCTGAATGAATTACGTGGTGGTGGACTTTGTCCTGGCAAAATTGACCAAAAACCACCTTGGCAAAGGGAGTTAAAGAGTTGCCAGCTGTCTCTCATAAGGAAGCCCTGCTGGTGCTCATACTGAACTGTCATGTCCTCTGCAAGGACAAGAGAGAAGTCCTAAGAGAAGCCCAGTCTCCATAAGACAGTGATGAAAGATCTAAAGCAATGAAGAAACTGTGGTAAAGCAATTTAAGTTGGTACATTCACTATTTTGCACGTCTGTCTTCTAGTAGCTGAAGAGCAGTTTTTCTTTCTGTCTCAATTAACTAGTGGCCCTGAAGATTCCTTTTGCAAACCCCCAAAATGCCCAAAGTATTGAAAGTCTGCACAGTTAACTGCTGGTTAATGGAGCTAGAACTGACCCATTTCAACGAAGGGGATCAGAGAGCATGCCAGAGAAACTCGAAGCGACAGCCAGTGCCCCAGCTTATTCAGACTGGAGAAGTGCAGGAACAAATAGTTCCAGCATGGTTATCCTCACAAAGAGAAGCGGGGAGAAGCAGAGTGGGGCACGTGGTGAGGAGGAAAGACATTTTAATTCTCTCTTTCCTTTTGTTGTCTCAACTCGGTAATACCTTACGTAACTGTTCTTTTAGTTTTTTAATTGGGGGACTGAAAAGGTTTCCTCACTGTAAAACTGTAAGAATAAAAAATACTTGTGATCTCCTTGGAATGTTTTTATTTTTAGCTGAAAAAAAGTATATGTACAGAGAAGTCTAGGACAGCAAGGTAAAGCTTTTTCAACAGAGAGTCAGGATATCTTTTTTTCCTAATGTAATGACACGGGTGACTAAACCACAGTGATATTGCAATTAACTCCTGCAGGTTGAAGTTAGTACTAAGAATAACTTTTTATTTTCTGCTGAGCTTGAGCTTAGCATCTGATCTGGGAGAGCATTGCAGGGTGAAACTGTGAAGTTTGTTGCTAGCCTGAAGACACAAATGGAAAGAGTTTGGAGGACTCCAACACAGCAACATCTGACCTTGCTTCACTGAGATTAGCGGCCGCCTCCTTTACCTCCTGCTAGCAATGGGCACAGCGTGCATGTGTTGGCAGCTGACGTGCCTCAGCTGGCAGGTGGTCACTCGTGAAGGAGCAGTAATTCATTTGCATGTCAGAGTCTAACTCCAGCTTGATTGTATTTTCTTTTTCTTGAAAACCTTTAATTGCTCCCTACCACTTGCCCAGCAGGCTTCTGGAAACTATCTGAATTGCAGGCGCAAAACAGGGAGAGAGTCAGGCCTTTGTTTGGTAAACACCTGAACCATCTGGGAGAGGGACTGACTGGCTGTGCTGTTGTCCCTGGCTGCTGACCTTCCCTCTCCAGGTTTTCAAAGGTCTATCAATTCTATGAAATGTATTTTGCTATGGTTTTTTGGCCTCAGCACTCACTGCCCCTTTTCAGCAAAGTGGTACTGAAAGAGTTAATGTTAGTGTCCCTTTCTTACGTGTCTTTACCAAGCTCATGAGATAAGGAGACCTGAAGTGTCTATATGGGGTAAAACAAGGGCAAAAGACATGGTGGCTATCCAACAAGCTTTGCAATCACACTCGAACTTTGACACTCCCCCATGTCCTACCAGTTCATGTCCTGCTTCTGGCAGGAGTGGCTGTCAGTGTGTCACCTCTCGCTGCCCCTATTGCTGGGGTCCAAGGAGGGGGGATTGGTGGGTACTTTCAAGAGCTGGAGGTTATGTACCTTGTTTACAAAGGTTTCTCTTTATTCCTAAAAGCCAGCATAGCTTTCTGTTCTTTTTTTTTTCCTGATAATGGATTTTGTGGCACTTGGTTAATCAGTTAGCAGTGATTAAACAGGGAAAGATGAATGACAGCCTGAGCAACGTCATCATGTTTTCTGTGCAGCGGAGAGGAGTGGTTCACCAGAGGAACCTCTTGCGAAATAAGTGAGAATTGAGCTTAAAGCACAAAATTTACCATGCTTTAAAATCCCCTTGTGAGTGCTCACTTCCTCTACGGGCTGATGTGGGGCTGCTGAAGAGGTTACCGTTTCCAGACAGCTCCCAGTCACCATCACGGCTGTCTTCTGCCAAATGTTACTGCCTCTCTTACCTACCTGCAAGCTGCTCACACAATCCCTCTCGAATTTCTTTTGGCCAAAATCAAGCTGAGCAGTTTGAGCAGTTTAAATAGTAGATGTCAGCTGAACTGGTTTGTTTTGGCTGAAATGGATTAGGGAAACCCAAGTCAGCAGATGGGAAGTGGGGTGATGACCTTTTCACGGACAGCTTCAGGGGCACTGGGTAGTTTGGCCTAATCTGCTTTCAGAGCAGACCGCTGTACCAGACATAACTGCTACCAACAGCTCTTCAGGGTATTTAAAAATAGAAGGGTTGCTGAGATACTCACATTGAAACATTCATAGGTTTTTTAGATACCACTAGCTTTGTTGGCACAGAGAGCAGGGTACAGCAGTCGGAGCAGCGCAGGTTTGTGGTAGACCAGCAATGGGAACATGAAGATTTGGAAACTGGTAGGAATAGAAGTTATAGGACTGAGTGTGGGGAAAGGGCAGAAGAAAGAGAAAAGTTTGCAGATGGAGAACAGTGGGAGATCAGAGAGCTCAGTCTAGAGAGCAGGAATTTGAGTAGTGTGAGAAATGCAGGCATCAGAGACACAGAGTGCAGAGTAGCAATGCTCAAGGGAAAATAGTGACATAAGAACAACCAGTATCTCCCCATTCTTGCCTTTCATGTGTGCATCAGACCTTGGGAATCTCTACCCCTCTGGAAAATGCTTAAATAAGAAGAGCCTCACTATTCTGTCGCTGCAGGTAGTTTTCAAACCTCTACTTCCCCATAGCTTCTCCAGGACTGCCAGATTCATAGCACTGTCAAACAAGCTGGGGTTAGCATGCAAGAGGAGAGGTCTAGGTTCAGTGCAGATACGTGTTTTTGAGCTGGAAGGAATGTACGACAAGATGGGGCGATATTCTTGTTCTCTGTAGGACAACGTTGGATGTTTTGGAGCAGTGGAAGAGAAAGGAGAATTACAGGATCCAGAGCAGCAGAAAGTACAGAGAAAAAGAAGGAGAGCATCAGCTGTCTGCTTCCCTGTATCCACTTACTTCATAAATTCTATATCCATTATTCAATAGGTATTTACATGATCCGTACTTCTATAGTTTCTGAATACCCTTTTTTTTTCTAAGTCTTTTGTGGAACAAGGGAGTATCATGATACCAAGTTTTATGGGTATAAGAATGAGTTACTCAGGCAAAGTAACTTGTTCAGGGTAGTATAGCAAGCCAGTTACAGATCAGAGAACAGACACAAGTTATCTTAAATTCCAGATCTATCCACTAACTCATCCGTCTCCCTCTCTTCTCTTCCACTGCTCAAAAGAAATAGTAACTTTTTAAACTTACCTGAACAGGCACATTTAGTAAAATTAAGCACTTGCACAAAAGTTCATTGGCATAGTTTATAGTTAGACACAAACTCACATACACACACAGAGCACAAGATAGACAGCAGAAGACAATGAGAAAAGATGAAGTAGTAATAATTTTTGATGCTATGGGTGGGCTTTATAAAGCTTAGGGGCTTTTGATCAATCCTAATATTCTTAAACATGAAAAAGCGGCTATAGAATCATAGAATCACAGAATCATTAAGGTTGAAAGAGGCCTCTAAGATCATCAAGTCAAATCATCAACCCAACACCACCATGCTCACTAAACCATGTCCTGAAGTGCCACATCCATGCGCTTCTTGAACACCTCCAGGGATGGTGACTCCACCACCTCCCTGGGCAGCCTGTTCCAGTGCCTGACTACTCTTTCAGTAAAGAAAATTTTCGTAATATCCAATCTAAACCTCCCCTGGCGCAACTTGAAGCCAAAAACTATTTTGATGGTTGAGCCACTTCTGTGTGAAAAAGCAAGATAAAGTTTTGAGAAAGCATTTGAAATTGGAGATCATAATAAATATTATTTACAGAAAAGCAGCATAATAACATGTTGTCATCAGGAAACAGAATAATGAAATACTGTTCTCAAGAAACAGCAAGTTCAGACAAATCTACAGCAACTGAGAAACTTAGCCAGTAACATTCTCACTTTTCTGTATATCTAAAGAGAAAATATTTAAAAAAAAAAAGAGTGATACATTCGAAAAATCACAATTGTATTTGAGAAATTAATGTAATTGGCACAGTAAACACCCCCCCTCACCTTTCTTTTAGCTCTTACTCACTGCTAGTCACTTGGCTGTAGGCTGGTGTACATGTATTGAAATCAACTTGCAATGGGCTGTAAGCACAGATGGTGCAGATCATCATTGCTCAACTAACACTTAAGTTGCTTTACCAATTTATACTAT